AGTGACAGATGATGTGGAAAAAACTGAAGTACTCAATGATTTTTTTTGCCTCAGTCTTCACAGACAAGGCCAGCTCCCACACTGCTGTCCTGGGCAACACAGTATGGGGAGGAGGTGAGCAGCTTTCAGTGGTGAAAGAACAGGTTAAGGACTACTTAGAAAAGCTGGATATGCACAAGTTCATGGGTCAGGATCTAATATATCCGAGGGTGCTGAGGGAATTGGCTGATGTGATTGCATAGCCATTGACCATTATCTTTGAAACCTCATGGCGATCAGGGGAGATCCTGGATGACTGGAAAAAGGCAAATATAGTGCCCATCTTTTAAAAAGGGAAGAAGGAGAACCTGGGGAACTACAGACCGGTCAGACTCACCTCAGTCCCTGGAAAAATCATGGAGCAGGTCCTCAAGGAAACCATTTTGAAGCACTTGGAGTAGAGGAAGGTGATCAGGAACAGTCACCATGCATTCATCAAGGGCAAGTCATGTCTGACCAACCTGATTGGCTCTGTGGATATGGGGAAAGCAGTGGATGTGATATATCTTGACTTTAGCAAAGCTTTTGATATGTTCTCCCACAGTATTCTTGCCAGCAAGTTAAAGAAGTTTGGATTGGATGAATGAACTATAAGGTGGATAGAAAGCTAGCTAGATTGTTGGGCTCAACAGGTAGTGATCAACAGCTCGATGTCTAGTTGGCAGCCGGTATCAAGCGGAGTGCCCCAGGGGTTTGTGCAGGGGCCGGTTTTGTTCAACATCTTTATTAATGATCTGGATGGTGGGATGGATTGGACCCTCAGCAAGTTTGCAGATGACACTAAGCTGCGGGGAGCGGTAGATATGCTGGAGGGTAGGGATAGGGTCCAGAGTGACCTAGACAAATTGGAGTATTGGGCCAAAAGAAATCAGATGAGGTTCAACAAGGAAAAGTGCAGAGTCCTGCACTTAGGACAGAAGACTCCCATGCACTGCTACAGGCTGGGGACTGACTGGCAGTTCTGCAGAAAAGGTGGCAGTTCTGCAGAAAAAACTTCAGTTCTGCAGAAAAGGACCTGGGGATTACAGTGGATGAGAAGCTGGATATGAGTCAGCAGTGTGCCTTGGTGCCAAGAAGGCTAACGGAATATTGGGCTGCATTAGAAGGAGCGTTGCCAGCAGATCAAGGGAAGTGATTATTCCCCTCTGTTTGGCACTGGTGCGGCCACATCTGGAGTATTGTGTCCAGTTTTGGGCCCCCCACTACAGAAAGGATGTGGACAAATTGGAGAGAGTCCAGTGGAGGGCCATGAAAATGATCAGGGGCCTGGGGCACATGACTTACGAGGAGAGGCTGAGGGAACTCTGCTTGTTTAGCCTGCAGGCTAGAGGAGTGAGGGGGGGGATTTGATAGCAGCCTTCAACTAGCTGAAGGGGGGGTTCCAAAGAGGATGGAGCTCGGCTGTTCTCAGTGGTGGCAGATGACAGAACAAGGAGCAATGGTCTCAAGTAGCAGTGCGGGAGGTCTAGGTTGGATATTAGGAAACACTGTTTCACTAGGAGGGTGGTGAAGCACTGGAATGGGTTACCTAGGGAGGTGGTGGAATCTCCATCCTTAGAGGTTTTTAAGGCCTGGCTTGACAAAGCCCTGACTGGGATGATTTAGTTGGTGTTGGTCCTGCTTTGAGCAGGGTGTTGGACTAGATGACCTCCTGAGGTCTCTTCCAACCCTAATCTTCTATGATTTTATGATTCTATGAATATCTTTAGTATCTGTTGTGAACAATATGTAAATGCATTATTGCAATAGAGCACATTATTGCTCTAATTTCCTAATAAAACTGAAGTAAGACAAATCCATAATAAAAATACAGCTGACCATATTAAAATATTAGACTCTGCTGTTTACTTAGAAGTGTGCTTTTTTCTTACAGAATATATATATATATATATATATATATATATATATATATAAAATATACACATAAGTTGGAAGTTACCATACAAACTGTGAGAGGCTAATTAGTTAAGATGAGCTATTATCAACAGGAGAAAAAACTTTTGTAGTGATAATCAAGATGGTCTATTTAGACAGTTGACAAGAAGGTGTGAGAATACTTAATTTAAGGAAAAAGAAAAGGAGTACTTGTGGCACCTTAGCAACTAACCAATTTATTTGAGCATAAGCTTTCGTGAGCTACAGCTCACTTCATCGGATGCATACTGTGGAAAGTACAGAAGATCTTTTTATATATACAAACCATGAAAAAATGGGTGTTTACCACTACAAAAGGTTTTCTCTCTCCCCCACCCCTCTCTCCTGCTGGTAATAGTTTATCTAAATTGATCACTTTCCTTACAATGCGTATGATAATCAAAGTGGGCCATTTCCAGCACAAATCCAGGGTTTAACAAGAACGTCGGGGGGGGGGGGGGTTGAAAAAACAAGGGGAAATAGGCTTGAATAGAGACTGGGAGTGGCTAAGTCATTATGCAAGGTAACCTAAGTTAATTGTATCCAATTTGCAAATGAATTCCAATTCAACAGTCTCTCACTGGAGTCTGGATTTGAAAGTTTTTCTGTTGTAATATCACAACTTTCATGTCTGTAATCGCATGACCAGAGAGATTGAAGTGTTCTCCGACTGGTTTATGAATGTTATAATTCTTGACATCTGATTTGTGTCCATTTATTCTTTTATGTAGAGACTGTCCAGTTTGACCAATGTACATGGCAGAGGGGCATTGCTGGCACATATCACATTGGTGGATGTGCAGGTGAACGAGCCTCTGATAGTGTGGCTGATGTTATTGGGTCCTGTGATGGTGTCCCCTGAATAGATATGTGGGCACAGTTGGCAATGGGCTTTGTTGCAAGGAGAGGTTCCTGGGTTAGTGGTTCTGTTGTGTGATATGTGGTTGCTGGTGAGTCCTTGCAACAAAGCCCATTGGTCAAACTGGACAGTCTCTACATAAAAGAATAAATGGACACAAATCAGATGTCAAGAATTATAACATTCATAAACCAGTCGGAGAACACTTCAATCTCTCTGGTCATGCGATTACAGACATGAAAGTTGTGATATTACAACAGAAAAACTTCAAATCCAGACTCCAGTGAGAGACTGTTGAATTGGAATTCATTTGCAAATTGGATACAATTAACTTAGGCTTGAATAGAGACTGGGAGTGGCTAAGTCATTATTCAAGGTAACCTATTTCCCCTTGTTTCCCCCCCCCCCCCCCGCAAGCCGTCCTTGTTAAACCCTGGATTTGTGCTGGAAATGTCCCACCTTGATTATCATACACATTGTAAGGAGAGTGATCACTTTAGATAAGCTACTACACTCTCCAGCAGGAGAGTGGGGTGTGGGGAGAGAAAACCTTTTGTAGTGGTAAACACCCATTTTTTCATGGTTTGTGTGTATAAAAAGATCTTCTGTACTTTCCACAGTATGCATCCAATGAAGTGAGCTGTAGCTCATGAAAGCTTATGCTCGAATAAACTGGTTAGTCTCTAAGGTGCCATAAGTACTCCTTTTTCTTTTTGCGAATGCAGACTAACACGGCTGTTACTCTGAAACCTGACAGAGCTCAGAAGCAGCTGAGGTTCCTCAGCCTCGCAGAAACCCTGCCTGGATTATGTGTAAGGAAAGCAGCTAGGGATTGCTGGAGTGGCTAGACAGTCAAGTTACTAGGGGGAATAGAGTGCCCTATGAGAATGGGTTGGTTGGTTGTTTAAACCCTTTGGGGCTGCTTTGGGATCTCTATCCCAGGGGAAGAAAAAACCTTAACCATTGTTTCAAATCTGTTTAGGGCATTTTCTCTGAAGGAAGAAAAGCATGAGTCCTTTGTGAATTCCAGCCTATTTTGATGAGCTTTCAATTCACCCTAAAAAGGGAGGGCTCAGAGATGCTGGTCATTTAGCCAGCTTGTTGAAGTCTTTAATGTTCACTTAAAGGGATCCATTGTCTTTGTTTTTCAAAGACCACTGCTTGAGGGCATGGGAGCCCAGCCCTCCTGTCAAGGGAGTTCCTAGGAAGACAGTAAGGATATGTCTACACTGCAGCTGGGAGTGTGGCTCCAGACCCGTATAGACAAACACACTAGCCCTGCTTAAGTTAGCATACTAAAAATAGCAGTGTGGGTGTTTGTGGCATCGGCCAACCCTCTGAGTAAGGACCCAGGGGGCCAGGCAGGCTTTTATTTGGATGGCTACTGAGCCACCTCTTGTGCAACAATATCCACACTGTTATATTTAGCATGCTACCTCAAGCAGGGCTGGCGCATGCCCCTCCACCTGGGCTGGGAGGCATACTCCCACCTGCAGCGTAGACATACCCTGATAAGGGTTTTGGAAGCAAGCCTACTCTGCTGCTTTTGCTCAGGGCCTTAAAAAGCAGCGCTAAGTAGGTGGGAAGTCTCCTTGACACTGAAAGATTGCTGAGATGACCTTTTAGCATAGGACCAGGTTGTACCCAACTGCTGTACAGATGCAGAGTAGTTAGGCACGACTGTGGTCCCATGAGAGCAGGCAACTCCTTTCAATCACATCCCTCTAGCACAAGACACCTTAATGGGAAGGGGGAGACTAGGCTATGGCTACATCCCCTTTTGTACAGGCCCAAAGAGCCGCTCCAGTGCACTAGAGCATGCTAGTATTAACTGATTTCGAGACCACAGTACACTAAGCCCTGGTCTACACTAGGACTTTAGGTCGAATTTAGCAGCGTTAAATCGATTTAAACCTGCACCCGTCCACACAATGAAGCCCTTTATTTCGACTTAAAGGGCTCTTAAAATCGATTTCCTTACTCCACCCCTGACAAGTGGATTAGCGCTTAAATCTACGTTGCCGGCTCGAATTTGGGGTACTGTGGACACAATTCGATGGTATTGGCCTCCGGGAGCTATCCCAGAGTGCTCCATTCTGACCGCTCTGGACAGCACTCTCAACTCAGATGCACTGGCCAGGTAGACAGGAAAAGAACCGCGAACTTTTGAATCTCATTTCCTGTTTGGCCAGCGTGGCAAGCTGCAGGTGACCATGCAGAGCTCATCAGCACAGGTGACCATGATGGAGTCCCAGAATCGCAAAAGAGCTCCAGCATGGACCGAACGGGAGGTACGGGATCTGATTGCTGTTTGGGGAGAGGAATCTGTGCTATCAGAACTCCGTTCCAGTTTTCGAAATGCCAAAACCTTTCTGAAAATCTCCCAGGGCATGAAGGACAGAGGCCATAACAGGGACCCGAAGCAGTGCCGCGTGAAACTGAAGGAGCTGAGGCAAGCCTACCAGAAAACCAGAGAGGCGAACAGCCGCTCTGGGTCAGAGCCCCAAACATGCCGCTTCTATGATGAGCTGCATGCCATTTTAGGGGGTTCAGCCACCACTACCCCAGCCGTGTTGATTGACTCCTTCAATGGAGATGGAGGCAATACGGAAGTAGGTTTTGGGGACGAAGAAGATGATGATGAGGAGGAGGTTGTAGATAGCTCACAGCAAGCAAGCGGAGAAACCGGTTTTCCCGACAGCCAGGAACTGTTTCTCACCCTAGACCTGGAGCCAGTACCCCCCGAACCCACCCAAGGCTGCCTCCTGGACTCAGCAGGCGGAGAAGGGACCTCTGGTGAGTGTACCTTTTAAAATGCTATATATGGTTTAAAAGCAAGCATGTGAAAGGATTACTTTGCCCTGGCATTTGCGGTTCTCCTAGATGTAGTCCTAAAGCCTTTGCAAAAGGTTTCTGGGGAGGGCAGCCTTATTTCGTCCTTCATGGTAGGACACTTTACCACTCCAGGCCAGTAACACGTACTCAGGAATCACTGTAGAACAAAGCATTGCAGAGTATGTTTGCTGGCATTCAACCAAAATCCGTTCTTTATCTCTCTGTGTTATCCTCAGGAGAGTGAGATATAATTCATGGTCACCTGGTTGAAATAGAGTGCTTTTCTTCAGGGGACACTCAGAGGAGCCCATTCCTGCTGGGCTGTTTGCCTGTGGCTAAACAGAAACGTTCCCCGCTGTTAGCCACAGGGAGGGGAGAAGGTTGAGGGGGTAGTCACGCAGTGGGAGGAGGCAAAATGCGACCTTGTAACGAAAGCACATGTGCTATGTATGTAATGTTAACAGCAAGGTTTACCCTGAAAGAGTGTAGCGACTGTTTTATAAAATGTGTCTTTTTAAATACCGCTGTCCCTTTTTTTTTCTCCACCAGCTGCATGTGTTTCAATGATCACAGGATCTTCTCCTTCCCAGAGGCTAGTGAAGCTTAGAAAGAAAAAAAAACGCACTCGCGATGAAATGTTCTCCGAGCTCATGCTGTCCTCCCACACTGACAGAGCACAGACGAATGCGTGGAGGCAAATAATGTCAGAGTGCAGGAAAGCACAAAATGACCGGGAGGAGAGGTGGAGGGCTGAAGAGAGTAAGTGGCGGGCTGAAGACAGGGCTGAAGCTCAAATTTGGCGGCAGCGTGATGAGAGGAGGCAGGATTCAATGCTGAGGCTGCTGCAGGACCAAACCAGTATGCTCCAGTGTATGGTTGAGCTGCAGCAAAGGCAGCTGGAGCACAGACTGCCACTGCTGCCCCTCTGTAACCAACCGCCCTCCTCCCCAAGTTCCATAGTCTCCACACCCAGACGCCCAAGAATGCGGTGGGGGGGCCTCCGGCCAACCAGCCACTCCACCACAGAGGATTGCCCAAAAAAAAGAAGGCTGTCATTCAATAAATTTTAAAGTTGTAAACTTTTAAAGTGCTGTGCTTAAAGTGCTGTGTGGCATTTTCCTTCCCTCCTCCACCACCCCTCCTGGGATACCTTGGTAGTCATCTCCCTATTTGTGTGATGAATGAATAACGAATGCATGACTGTGCAGCAGCAATGACTTTATTGCCTCTGCAAGCAATGATTAAAGGGAGGAGGGGAGGGTGGTTAGCTTACAGGGAAGTAGAGTGAACCAAGGGGCGGGGGGTTTCATCAAGGAGAAACAAACAGAACTTTCACACCGTAGCCTGGCCAGTCATGAAACTGGTTTTCAAAGCTTCTCTGATGCGTACCGCGCCCTCCTGTGCTCTTCTAACCGCCCTGGTGTCTGTCTGCGCGTAACCAGCAGCTAGGCGATTTGCCTCAACCTCCCACCCCGCCATAAACGTCTCCCCCTTACTCTCACAGATATTGTGGAGCACACAGCAAGCAGTAATAACAGTGGGAATATTGGTTTCGCTGAGGTCTAAGCGAGTCAGTAAACTGCACCAGCGCACCTTTAAACGTCCAAATGCACATTCTACCACCATTCTGCACTTGCTCAGCCTGTAGTTGAACAGCTCCTGACTACTGTCCAGGCTGCCTGTGTACGGCTTCATGAGCCATGGCATTAAGGGGTAGGCTGGGTCCCCAAGGATACATATAGGCATTTCAACATCCCCAACAGTTATTTTCTGGTCTGGGAATAAAGTCCCTTCCTACAGCTTTTGAAACAGACCAGAGTTCCTGAAGATGCAAGCATCAGGCACCTTTCCCGGCCATCTCACGTTGATGTTGGTGAAACGTCCCTTGTGATCCACCAGAGCTTGCAGCACTATCGAAAAGTACCCCTTGCGGTTTATGTACTCGGCGGCTTGGTGCTCCGGGTGCCAAGATAGGGATATGGGTTCCGTCTATAGCCCCACCACAGTTAGGGAATCCCATTGCAGCAAAGCCATCCACTATGACCTGCACATTTCCCAGGGTCACTACCCTTGATATCAGCAGATCTTTGATTGCGTGGGCTACTTGCATCACAGCAGCCCCCACAGTAGATTTGCCCACTCCAAATTGATTCCCAACTGACCGGTAGCTGTCTGGCATTGCAAGCTTCCACAGGGCTATCGCCACTCGCTTCTCAACTGTGAGGGCTGCTCTCATCTTGGTATTCATGCGCTTCAGGGCAGGGGAAAGCAAGTCACAAAGTTCCATGAAAGTGCCCCTACGCATGCGAAAGTTTCGCAGCCACTGGGAATCGTCCCAGACCTGCAACACTATGCAGTCCCACCAGTCTGTGCTTGTTTCCCGAGCCCAGAATCAGCGTTCCACAGCATGAACCTGCCCCATTAGCACCATGATGCATGCATTGTCAGGGCCCATGCTTTCAGAGAAATCTGTGTCCATGTCCTGATCACTCACGGGACCGCGCTGACGTCGCCTCCTCGCCCAGTATCGCGTTGCCATGTTCTGGTGCTGCATATACTGCTGGATAATGCGTGTGGTGGTTAATGTGCTCCTAATTGCCAAAGTGAGCTGAGCGGGCTCCATGCTTGCCATGGTATGGCGTCTGCACAGGTAACTCAGGAAAAAAGGCGCGAAATGATTGTCTGCCCTTGCTTTCACGGGGGGGGGAGAGGGAGGGAACGGGGGGCTGACGATATGTACCCAGAACCACCTGCGACAATGTTTTAGCCCCATCAGGCATTGGGATCTCAACCCAGAATTCCAATGGGCAGCGGAGACTGCGGGAACTGTGGGATAGCTACCCACAGTGCAACGCTCCAGAAGTCGACGCTTGCCTCGGTACTGTGGAAGCGCTCAGCCGAGTTAATGCACTTAATGCACTTAGAGCATTTTCTGTCGGGGGACACACACTCGAATATATAAAACCGATTTCTAAAAAACCGACTTCTATAAATTCGACCTAATTTCGTAGTGTAGACATACCCTAAGACAGTGGTTCTCAAACTTCATTGCACTGTGACCCCCTTCTGAAAACAAAAATTACTACATGACTCTGGGTGCGGGGAGGGGGGGAGAAAACTAACAACGGAGCCTGCCTGAGCCCTGCTGCCCTGGGTGGGGAGGCCCCCCACTGCTGAAGCCCAAGGGTTTCTGCCCTGGATGGGGGAGTGGCGGCTTGGGCTTCAGACTTGCTGGGGCCCAGGGCCAACACTAGCTTTGGCAACTCCATTAAAATGGGGTTGCAACCCACTTTGGGGTTCTGACCCACAGTTTGAGAACCCCTACACTAAAACATATGTTACTGCTTTTAAAATGCTCTTAGAACTCTAGCCCTGATCTCCAGTGCTTGTCTGGCCCTTTCATGTTTCTGTAATTTTTAGCTTCAATGGGACTTTAACAACTGCTTAAGGGCCTTACCCTAAGCCAATTGATGTCAATGGGAGTCTGTTAACTTCAGGGAAGGTTGGATCAAAGCTGAAGTGCTTTGCTCAATAGGGGCTTGGAGCCTTTGATTACAAACACTCATTTCACTCCTGTAAATAATAAAGTAACCAAAAACAGTCCCTGGCCAAAAGTTGTCTAGGTTACCACACTCGGAATGTGTGTAGGTGAGGTTATGAGTAAGCAAGTGCTGGCAAAAAAGATTATCCTAATGTTTTGGTGTTTGTGGACCATCCAAGGCTGTGCACAACATCTTCTGTCACTCACATACCCACCCACCCAGTTAACTCGAGTTTAATCATAATCAGTTATTTGCCCTGTTAATAGAATACTAATTGAAATTTATAAATACTTTTGCATTTTTCTACATTTTCAAATATTGATTAATACAAAGTATGATGCTCACTTTTGATTAAGTATTTCTACTGTAAAAATAGTATTTTTCAATTCACCTCATCCAAGTACTGTAGTGCAATCTCTTGTGGAAGTTCAATTTTTGGTTACATAACTGCACTCAAAACAAAATGTAAATCTTTAGGGTCTACAAGTCCACTCAGTCCTACTTCTTGTTCAGCCAATCACTTAGACAAAACAAAAATGAGTCCAGTGGCACCTTAAAGGTTAACAGATTTATTTAGGCATAAGCTTGTGTGGGTTAAAAAAACTCACTTCTTCAGATGCATGGAGTGAAGATTACAGATGCAGGCATTATAATACATGAAGAGAAGGGTGTTGTCAACACTGGTTCTCCACTTATACAGGAAGGGAGTTACTTTACAATAATGCTTGCAACTCCCTTCCTGTATAAGTGGAGAACCAGTGTTGACAACACCCTTCTCTTCATGTATTATAATGCCTGCATCTGTAATCTTCACTCCATGCATCTGAAGAAGTGGGTTTTTTAACCCACACAAGCTTATGCTCAAATACATCTGTTAGTCTTTTTTTTTTTTTAAAAAAGGTGCCCCGGGACTCCTTGTTGTTTTTGTGGAATCAGACTAACATGGTTAGGCCCTGATACTAAGACAAACAAGTTTGTTTACATATAGGGGAGATAACGCTGCCCACGTCTTATTTACAATGTCACCTGAAAGTGAGAACAGACATTCACATGGTACTTTTGCAGCTGATGTTGCAAGATATGTACATGCCAGATATGCTAAACATTCATGTGCCCCTTCATGCTTTGGCCACCATTCCAGATGACATGTTTCCATGCTGAAGACAGATTCTGCTTGATAACTATCCAAAGCAGTGCAGACTGATGCACATTCATTATCTGAGTCAGATGCCACCAACAGAAGGTTGATTTTCTTTTTTGGTGGTTCAGGTTCTATAGTTTCTGCATTGTAATGTTGCTCTTTTAAGACTTCTGACAGCATGTTCCACATCTCATCCCTTTCAGATTTTAGAAGGCACTTCAGATTCTTAAATCTTGAGTCAAGTGCTGTAGCTATCTTTAGAAATCTCACATTGGTACCTTCTTTGTGTTTAAAGAACACTTTGCAGATTTGACAAAACAAAAAACCCACAACCCACACATCATCATCATCATCATCATGTGCTGGGTCATCATCCAATACTGCTATAACATGAAATGTATGCAGAATGTGGGTAAAACACTGAGCAGGAGACATAATTCTCCCTCAAGGAGTTCAGTCACAAATTTAAACAAACATTTTTAAAATGAGCATCATTGTGATCACTGTACACTTTTGATTTCAATTACACAGATACATATATTTGAAAATTTAGAAAAACATCCAAAAATACTTATAATAAATAGAATACCAATTGAAATTTAACAAGGCAATTAAAACTGCAATTAATCATTAGTTTTTTTTAAACTTGTTTGACAGTCCTATTTCTTAGGGGTACAGCCTCACAGAACAGTTCATGGAAATCATATTTCATTCTCATGCTGTGATTTGACAGCTTGGAAAGATTTTAAAACAAAATTGCCTCCTCACCGTTAATGTACATGCATTAGGCTGGTATGTATAATACCTACTGCAATGTATATGCAAAATCAAGGGCTCAACATCCCATTTCTTCACAGGGTATATTTATTCAAGCATATACACTTAAGTAAAATAAGACAAAGTTTGAGCCTCTCTAACACTGTTATGCTCCTTAATGCCTAGCACAAAATTATCCCTTTTTCCTGTTGTAGAACTTGAAAAAATAAGGATTGAGTCATTTGTTGCATGCTTTGTAGTTACTGACTGGACCAATTTTCCATATTTGAGAGACTGTACCATTCCATTCAAAATAATTCTATCTAAAATATCACCTTAGTGAGGGGACTGGATGGCTCCAGAGTAGCCATGGGAGGGGGAGCTTTTCGCTAACAGTTTACTGGTTCTTAATATCTAGTACAGGCCATTAGTGACTGTAGCAGCCTCCTGTACACCACATTGTGGCCAGAGGGTGCTCTGCAGCATCCTGCCCTCTTTCATCCTAGAAGCACAACCCCTTAATAACTTGAGTGTCTCTCATCCAATCACAGGCCTCCTTGGGATCTGGTTCTGTAACATAGTTACCCCCCCCCAAAAAAAAAAACCACCCCAAAACAAACAGAACAAAAAAAAACAACCTTCCACCAAGCCTTAAGTTGGGCACAACTACTCCTTCCTGAGGTACTGTCCCTTCCTGCTGTCTGAGCAGCTGGAGAAGGTGCATAGCCTATCCCACCTTCTTTGCCTTCTCCCAAAAGAAAAACAAAAAACTTTCAGCTGAGTTTTTACCCAACTCTCCTCCTCAGGGACCACTGCAGGAGAACCTCTCTCCTTGCAGCTTCAGTCTGTGCATCACCTTCCATCTCTTATCTCATGTGGGAGCCCCTGCTCTGGCACAAGGACATTGGACCTACTTTAATCACAGGGCCCAGTCACACTGTGATGGTGACCAAAACCTTGTTTGTTTAGTGAAATGGGTTGGTTGTCCCAACAGACAAGTTTCCACATCACAAAATACCACCACCGTTTAAGGTAGTTGGAATAAATTGATGGCTGAGAATGGTCATGGAATCTGACCTGCACATTTGAGCTCTCACTTGGGGAGGGGGAGACAAAGTATGTGCTGACCCTTCCTGCACTATACTTATTCATTAGATAAATAGAGGACATTAGAAAGGGGGAAGCATTAAACAAAAGCAAGTAAACAGGCCAGAAAGACTGAAATCAATAGCAATAAAATTAAAACTTCTTGAAGTCAGAAGGTAATTTAAGCATAACATACCACAGTGACACGAGGAAGGCTACACCACCCCAATTAGATGATTAAAATGATGAGGAATAAGTTATCTGAGCTCAGCAGATATCCTTCAAAAATGGAAAGCCAAGTGATGAGACCAATAGAAAGTAGTATAAACTCTGGCAGGTAAGATAGAAAAATAGGAGGGTGATGAGGAAATCTGAAGAGACAGATATAAAAACAAATACAAATGTTTGATATTCTTTAAAAATATGGATGTGATGAAAAAAACTGTAGATCTACTGCGCTACCTAGGAGGAATTAAAGATACCAAGGACACCAAAGAAACAAAAAGTGATTTCTTTGTGTCATTTTCATCAAAGAAAATTCTGGGTAAAAAAAGATGAAGCCCTGTCAGAGCTGAGCAGTCAAAAGAGAAGGGAGCACAGTTTTTTTTACAGAGGAAACTCTCCCCGCCTCCCCCCCCCCCCCCAAACGCATTCACAGTCTACTAGGATTCCTTGAGAATGTCCACAACATAGTGAATAAAGGAGAACAGAGAGATATTTTACCTGGTCTTTCAAAAAGCCCTTGAAAGAGTCTGTGACAAGAGGGTATTATGGAAATCTAGGGTTAGATTTAGACTCACTTTCAGTCCATTTGAGGGAGAGGAGGAAGAAAAGGTGGGTCTAAACTACCTTTCCATCCCTTTTGATCCTGAGGGCAGCTAATGGCCAAACCAGCCGCAGAGAAAGATTAGGGGAGTGGCAAGAGGGCTGCTCCAATATATGCTGTCTGGCCCAGAATTGCCAGGGCACAACATGCTCCAAATCTCTCTTCCCCCCCCCCCCCGAATGTCTTCAGACACCCTCCTTGGCCTGGAATGCCCACTACACTGAAGGAGTGGGGTGAGCAAATGACAAGCTCACTGGTCTCTAAAGCTGAGAATGAACTTAGCATCCTTTTATGGGATCATTCAATTTAAAAAAAAAAGGATCATTAATTACAAGTCTTCATTTATAACTACCTGTTTTCAACTGCTATGCTAAAGAAGTCCTCAACAGCTTGATGAAGGCAGCTTTAAGTATCTCCTTGTCCAACTGTAGCAGTGCCAAGAGGACTTAACCAGGACCAGCATCTGGCCCTATGTAGTGAAGGGATGAGAAGGAAAGTTCTACCATGGTGTACAAAATAATGACAATGAATGAATGATTGAACAGAGCAAGGGGCTAACAGTGGGATGGTCACAGTATCTGTAACAGGACAGGTGCTGTCTAAAATGTTAATAGTGATTTGGAAAACAGAATAAAAATTGCAGACAGCACCAACTTATTCAGGCTGTGCAAGACTAGAAAAAAGACTTTGAGAAACTTCAAAGGGACCTCAAAAAGCTAGGGGAATGGGCAATACCATGGCAGATGAAACACAGTGGCAAATGTAGATCAGTGCACTGTGGAAGGAATAATTTGAGTTCACCACACTGATTATAACACAACGAAAAAAACCCCAAGAAAAAAGTAGTTGTCATTTTGAAGACCCCAGTTCAAGCATGCAGCACCAGTCCAGGGATGGCAGAAACAGGGGACTAGCACCCCAGCCACAGAATTATTGCAGGAGGACTAATCTGTGTGTTCTGCTCTGCCCCATGCCACCTACCTCAAGCTACTGCCTTCCCATTGGCTTTCATCTCCCAAACAGCCAATCAGGTCCTGGCCAGTGGTGGGGGCAGGGCACACCTCCATCCATGGGGAGGCACTAACTGTGCACATGGC